TGATTCTTTTCTTGAAAAAAAAAAAAAAAAAAAAAACCCAAAAAAGATAAATTAAACAAAAACATCGATAAAAAATTATTTCAATCAAACAAATGAAAGATAAAGTATAAAATATAAGATAAATAAATCGAATAAACTTCATTGCAAATATTTTCCTTTTTCTATTTTTATTTTAAATCTATTTTCTTAATATTTTATAATTGAAAACAAATCATTTGTCAAAAACGCAATTATAACAGAGAGAAATAAAATTATAAAAAATAATTCCAAGGATCAACATGGTTAAAAATTATCGTTAAAAAAAAAAGAATATAAATATATTATAATATATATTCGTATCTGATTAAAATATACAGGAAAATGTAGTAAAAATAAAAGAAAATGAATAATACAAACAATTCGAATAATAAGGAACGTTTATAAAATCGAATTCTTGTTTTAATCTTGAGAGGATACGAAAGACGTGCGAACTCTCTTTCTCTCTTTCTATGCACACGATCACCCATTAAGAAGGGACAATGTGAATTAAGTCGTGAATGCGATTCGTAGCCTTGCAACTTACTGTGAATGTATATATATATATGTATGTATATTTGTATATATATATATATATATGTTTGTTTGTATGTATATATGAATTTATGTGTATATGTAAGAGAAGAACACTGACACACAGCGTGGTTCATGCATTCGGCTATGCACAGAGCGCATAAAACGCCTAATTATTCGTTGCATGAATAATTCAGCTTACGACTTAACGTCTGCCCGAGAAGAGAAAGAAAAATAAAAAGAATGAGAAAGAGAGAGAAAGAGAGAGAGGTCGGAGGCCAGACGGAGGGAAAGAAAGAGAAAAGAGCCGAATGAAAGCTACTATTAGACGCTCCGTTACACAGGGATGGCTAAAATTAACGTCCACTCCTTCTTTCTTTCTCTTTCTCTTTCTCTTTCTCTTTCTCTCTATTTCTTTTTCTCTCTTTTTCCTTTTTTTCCTTTTTTCTATTATTTTTATTCCATTTGTTTTTTCCTCTCTGTCTGTCTCTCTCTCCCTATTTTATTTAAAAAATTTTTAATTCTCTCCATTTATATATTCCCTTCTCTTTTTTCACCCGCTATTTATATAGTGTGCCGGTAGATTAAAAATAATATTTATTATTATGTAATATTCATTATACAAATAGTAAAATTAATATTTGATATAACCGACTGGTATTGTGATATCGATTAATTAATATAAAAAAATATTATAGTATATATGTATTATGTATCTTGCATCATATAATAAATATTGAACGTTATATATTTATTTTTCTTATAATTGACAATTTTATTTAACATAAGAAACCGATCGTCGGGTTTAAAAATACTGACCAAGTAAATAGGAGTGTTCTTATTATCCTTTTCTATTTTTTTTTCTTTGCATACACGTGTAATTTTCTTTTCCCCCTCCCTTTTTATCGACTGACTCACTCTATTTCCTATTTTCTATTATTTCTATTATTCATTTTTTTTGTTTCTATTTTTCATATTTTTCTATTTCTAACACACGGAGAAAAGTTTTCTCTCCTTTTTCTTTTCTTTATTTCTTTCCTCACTCGTCATAACGTTACGGAACAACGAACGTACGTGTTTCTGTGAAACTTGAAACCTGTTATGCGGGACCAGGAGAAATAAAAAATATAAAAATACGGAATAGGTTAAAAAAGAAAAAAAAAGAAAAGAAAGAAAACGAAAGAGAAGGGATAAGAGTGGGTAGGAGGGAAAAGAAGAGACGAAGAAAAAAATAAAGAAATAAAAAAAAGGGGGAGAGAGAGAGAGAGAGACAGAGAGAGAGAAGTCATATAAAAGTTCCGTTCGGTTAGGACTTTTTCGAAATTTAGTTCTTCTTTTTTCTGTTCTTCATCGTAACTGTAAATTACCTTGATGTATTTTGATGTACTTACTATTCTTCTAACATTTTTTTTTTCTTCATCTTCTCTCTCTCTCCTTTTTTCTCTATTTCCATAGGAAACTCTTTAAAATGATCGATAAAAATCCTTTACCGACGTTTCAATTTATATATTCGTCGTTATAAGACCAAAAAAAAAGGAAAATGTTATATCAAAAGATAATAATAAAATAACACTTTGAGAGATAGATAATTTTCACTTAAAATTTAACCAATCTACGTAACATATACGTACTTACTTCCATAATATACATATATTTTAATACTATCTATAGAAATTACAGCGTGTAATAGTAAAATGATGAGAGAGTCAAGGTTAAAATTAAAATCGAATATAATAATATCTTCGAACGAATCTTGAAAACAAAACAAAAATAAAAAAAAATATAGGAGAACGAAAATTTTTACGGAAATAAAAATGTAATACAAATTTTCATTACGATATAAGATGATAAATACTAAACGAGACAATTAATAATAATAAAATGAGACAAATTTTATATAGACTAACTTTTGTTTAGAATCGAAAATTCGTATAAGAAAAAAAAGAGAAAAAGAAAAAGAAAACACAGTAAATTGCGTTCATAGAGGATAAATTTAAAGTCGTACCACTTTATTTGGCAGCTACTCAATCTTCGTTAGAAGATCATGATCAAAGCATTGAGGAAAATATATTTTCCTCTCGTAGATAGGTATATATATATATATACCTATTATATATATTATATATATATAGAGCTAGTTTTCTCGGGATTATCGATTATCGAATCAGTAATTAACGTTACGCGCAGGTGAGCGTGCATTTCCTCGTTCCATGTTTCATTCAGGAGAGTATGATTCTATCTCTCTCTTTCTTTCTCTCTCTCTCTCTCTCTCTCTCTCTCCTTGTTCACGAACATTTAATATATATATATATATATATACACACAGATAGTTACATACACGTATAGATTGATTATCTCGATTCTCTGTCCGCTATGCCGTTTCACGGACTCCTCCAAGTCATTGGCCAGGTGTGCAGGTGAAGTCGACGCCGCAGGTCACTCATTTATCATTGCATAAGATTCAGAACCTGTTCCGGTCCATTCATCGCTGGTTGCCTCCTTATACTATATAGTATACGTATACACCTTCGAAAGTGACTGCCTTTCGTATGTAACCTGCAACCTCCACGTAAAAGGCCTCCTTTTTAACAGTGGCGTCGACCTCACTCACTTTTATTACACCAAATTATAATATATTGTATATATATATATATATTTTCGTTTTATAAGAAATTACAGATACAAGAATATCATTATTACACAAGTTCCTGTGTGAATGATATTTTTAAATAAGAATTATATAAGAGGATATAAAAGTATTTCTTTAATATATTATAAATATATTTAAGTATTACTTTTTTTTTTTTTTAAGACATTTTTTTATTACCAATTTTCGTTCCTCTAAATTATAATATTACCGTTTGAAGAAATTCCAAGTAAATAAAATGATGAAACATTCGAAATTGATATATTAAAATAAATGTAATTTTAACAATGGCATTTTGATTGGATCGTTCGGAAAGTAGTTTCGTTTTCTTTCGATGAAAATGAAAGACAATTTTCCTTATATAGTGAGTATTGAGATTAAATCTGGCGTTTGAAATGATCATGAACGGAATTAGATAAATTTAATCTCTCAGCGTGTTCACGAGTTGTTATATCAAATTGAGTATCGGTAAAATGTGATTAACTTGTGCGAATAATAACGAAATTATTTTACGAATGATCTAATCAATTCGTATACTTATAATTCATTTCATTATAATACTGTTAAGAAAATCAGTAAAATAAGAAATAAAATCATTAGAGAATTACAAAGTGGTGGTATTTTAAATGCATAAAAGGATATATAAGGTATATAATATATTAATAGAAAGAAAGAACAAAATAAAATACGGAGAGATGTGTATTGAAATAAGAGAGATGATAATATATTTTGTTCGCGATATTATTTATATTTATTGAAACATAAAAAGACAAGATTTCAAATGATTGTTTAATTACGCACGGTTACGCGCGTGCTTATCTCGAGAACGTTGACGCTATAAAATATTTCGCGATAAATGGCCCAGGCATTACGTAGTGACACGACTATGGTAATAGCCATGATTTCTGCTCGAAGAGCGATTATTCAACGTGGGAGAGGTTCGTTAACCGCAGAGATATCGCATCGAACGATCAATGTTTTATGTTGCCGATCGGTCTATAATATAACACACGTTTGTTAATAAATAGTTAAATTGATTGGAAAATTGCATGGGGGGGGGGGAAGGTTAAATCTGTTCGAACAATTCATGGATTATCAATGAAATATAAATAAACATTTTGTATGATCGATCGTTAGATCCGTTTAGATCTATTTCTCGATTTATTTCTTTTTTTTTTTGTTTTTTTTTTGTTTTTTTTTTATATTATTTCGTTTATACATTTTCTACAAAAAAAAAAATCGAAAACGATTTATTCTTTTTTTCTTTCAATAGAAATAAATCGTTCGTCAATAATTTGTTAAATGTCGTCTGTTAGTGTCGTGATTATTCACATCGAGAATTAACAAATATTAATATATAGGATACATATATTTTTTTTATTTTATTTATTAATACCGTTCTGTTTTAATATTTTATTATAAATATTGATAATTTGTTATTTAATAGACTCCATCAATAATATAGTACGAAATTTAGAGAATTTATTTTAATAATTAATATAAAATTCGTATAGAGATAAAATAATTTTGAATCATAAAAATTGAAACATATATTAGTTCTTTGATCTTACCGTCTTACCAAAATAATTTTTAATGGTTTCTCTTGTATGTATATATATAGGAAGAAATATCTAACATAAGTAATATACGTGTTATTATTTGAGAAAGATGAGGGAGTAGAAAATGTTTCTTGTAAAGCTGAGCCAGCAGTTGCTTTTGGGTGAGTCGCGAGCCCTTTCGAAGTAAAGGTCAGCCCTTTTCGGCCAGAACGTTTCATCCTACGTTCGGGTATCCTCCTCCCTTCTCAGAAAGTTGTACCGTTATCCTTAGAACGTTCTCTCTTTCTCTCCTTCTCTTTATCCTCCGGTTGATTAAGGACGCGTCATCGTCGATTCGACGTAAAACGATTTATCAGTGCCAAACGTTTATTTTAAAGTTACCGAAAAAGGACCGGATTAAACGTCAAATTGTCGTCGTCTCTTATCATTGATTAAAATAGAATGAAAATATTTATTGTCATCAATTTCATTCTAATTAAATGTGTGTGTGTGTGTGTTTTTTTTCTTATTTTCTTTTTCTTCTTTTTTATCTTCAATATATTTTTAAGTATACACCGATAAACAATTTAAAAAAAAAAGGATGTACTTCTCAATATTTCAAATGTTCGCGATAAAATTGTTTCTTGGTTTTTGTATTTTATTTTCGTTGTTATCTAAATTCCATCGGATACGTAATATACCTTTTTTTTGCGATGTTATAACAATAAATATTTTCGATTTTAACGATTGATCGACGAGAAAATATGTTCGAAAAATTATTAGAACAATTTTTTATTTTGTTTTCTTTTTCCTTTTTTTTTTTTTTTTTCTATACAGAAGTTATTTTCAATATATGACGAAGAATCATAAACCTTCGAACGTTATCGTTATAATAACGATCGAATTACTTTTCACGAGTTGGATTTAAATCGATTTTATAAACGTACATTGAAAAAGTATCGTCTTTCGATGTTGAAATAGAAAAATATAACAAGATATATACTATTTTTTAATTAGATAAATTTATCATGATGTTAACCTCACGTTAACATGCAATGAACGAAATTGATCGAAGTATCGATTCTCTGATCGAAATGTAAATAAAAACAAGGGAACAAAAAACCAAACAAAAGTAAAGTAGAACAATAAATTAAAAAATCAAGTATAAGAAGAAGAAGAAGAAAATAAAATAAGATAAAAGTTAATTCTTTGCGGTAAGGTGTGATTAAAAGTGTTTCCACCTTTTTGATGCATCGTAATGCATGAAATATTGCAATAGCTGCATGCGCATAGGTATTTTACGTAAAACAGTTGTATGGTAATATCTTCAACAAATCATACAAATATTATTAAATTATTACTTTTTATCTGTTTTTTTTTTTTTTATGTTTTTAACATTATCGAATACCTTTATTAATAAAAATATACCAATTTTGTTTTATAAATTAACGCAATAAAATTTCTATGCAACATAGGGCCACTTTAAAATCCTGTGTCGCAAAGAGTTAAAAGAGAGAGATACCTATGCCAAATAAAAAAAAATAAAAAAAAAAAAAGAATTAAAAGAAAAAATAAATGTCGAGATTTCTTTCCTAGAAAGAAGTTAAAGTCGAGCTCGGTTATTAATTGGGAACGATCACGCGATATTTCCTCGCGATACGTCCGACCCGGTCGCGAATTTATCGTTGCGTTCTCGCTGATTTATCAGAGGGGAATCCGATTTATCGGAGTGTCCCAGCAGCACCGGCACCACCAGAGCACGATGTGTCCTCCTGCATGTTCAACGTGTATGTCTCTCTCTATCCCTCTTTCTCTGTATGGAGGTATAGATAATGTAAAAGAAAGCTAAAACTAAAACTAAAAAAAAAAAAATAAAAAAAATAAAAAAAAAGAGTTAAAGGAAGAGTAGAATTGGTAGGATTCGCAAGCGGATTGGTCGATTTTGCTTTGCGGAATTTTTCGAAAGAACAAAAATAGATAATAGTACTATCTATGTACGTATTATATATAGCTACTAGATAGTATCAAGAATGAAACAGAAAAATAGGTACAAGCTAAATCCTTCGTTCTATTTTATTGTCAAAAGGTATTGGATTCATCGTCAATTCAATTTTGGCCGATTGCTAAATATACACTTTTTCTTATCGTCCGTTACACGTTTATCTTCATTGTTTAGAAAGATAAAAAGAGTGATAGAGAGAAGGAAAAGGAATAAATATATTCACGAGTTTGTTACTTGTTGTTCGTCATATTTTATAAACAAATAATCGATCTAATTGAATCTAAACAAATAATCGATCATTCTTACTCTATATATTATTTTTTTATTCTTTTACGTATATATATAAAGTGTATGAATTGACTCATACATTTTTTTTTGCACGAGAATCGAAAATATTTTTCCGATCGTGTTCGGAAAGAGAATTTTCAACCCAGAGAGAAAGAGAGAGAGAGAGAGAGAGAGAGAGAGAGAGAATAAATACGACGTGGTTATCTCCTGGTCGGCGAAATATTTTCATATTTTTAAATAAACGAATGAATAAAAGAATAAAAAAAAAAGAGAAGGAAAATAATGAGAATGTTTAATCCATAATAGTAAAATATTTCGAATGGAAAAAACATTGTTCGCAGGGTGCAGATACGATGGTCGTCGATACGAGGAGGGTACAATGGTGAATACTTCCGAACCCTGTTTGCAATGTCGGTGCATCGAGGGTGCACTAAGATGTCGATTACGTGTTTGTCCACGATTACCAAATTCTCCACCACCTGGTTGTCATATTCGCCAACCCGAAGAAAATGTTTGCTGTGCCGAACTTATATGCGGTGGACCACGTTAGTACGACGACCATTCTATATCTTATAATCTTTTATTTTTCTTTTTTTTTTTTTTTTTTTTTTAAACACACATACGCAAGATTTAATTTAAAAATAAAAAAAAATCACACGTTTTTGTACGATGGTTATTTCATGTTCTATATATTTTTTTTTTGTAATTTTTATTTCTTATTATACTTAGGATAAAAGAAAAAATATATCATTTTTTTTTTTTTTTTACATTGAAATCGAATTTGTTTACGAGCAAAATAATTACAAGCTACGCAAATATGTTTAAACGTAGAGATATTGTGTTTTAAAAGTAAGAAGAAAAGAAATGTTATTAATTATTAAAAATTGATTATCGATATGTCGCAGGTGATACAAAGAACACCTTACGTAGAGCCAATATTGAAACGGAGGAAACATCGCAGGATGAAGGTTCTTATAATTAATAATATTTATCGATAAACATAAAAAGAGAAAAAGAAAAAGAAAAAAAAATAAGTAGAAGAAGAAGAAGAAGAAGAAAAAGATAATGAATTTATTTAACACAAATAGGTTGCCTTTACGAAGGTGTACGATACGGACCAGGTTCTGCTATGAAGGGATCACGTAGATGCGAATATTGTTATTGCATTTCCGGTGCAAGAAGATGCATCAGACCGAAATGTTTATTGCCCTTACCGGGATGCATTCCATTATACACTCCTCATTCCTGTTGTCCCATATCTTACAATTGCACGCGTGAGTTTTTACTATTAATTTAATACTTTTTATTCTTTTTTTTATCTTTCCTTCATATTTTTTATATATTAAAAAGATCAGTAAGAGAGAGAGAGAGAGAGAGAGAGAAGAAAAAAGAAATAGAGAAAATATTTTTTGTTTTCAAAGATTCACGAGCGTCAACGTCTACACCCCTGTCGAGCAATGGTAAGTTGAAAATTAAAAAAGAACAAAATAAAACATTTTCAACAACAATGAACAATTGTTCTCGTCATCGATCGACATGTAAAACTTTTGTGTATACACAAAAATAACTATTCTTATTATTACGATTTAACGCGTTTGTAAATTAAATCAAAGATAACGATTTTGATTACGATCGATCGATTAATGATATTTAATTTATAAACAAAAAAATATTAGATGCGAGTAGAGAAAGGATTGTTCTTTAATTCTATCGGGTTGTTAATTAAACCGAAATAACGAAACCGTTTGAGTATTTTTGTGTTGTTTTTTTTTTTTTTTTTTTTTTTTCTTTTTTATACGTATAAAAATTTAATCGAATTTGCAAACTGGACGAGACTTGTTAAATTTTCAATAGAGACTGCTTAGTACGGTAAGGTTTGGAAAATCTTCTTAACGTTAGACGCCTCTAAGGGGGAAAAGAATAGAATAGAATAGAAAAAAAGGAAATAAAAAGGTTAGGATCATCGACCTTTCCAAGGCAAATAGGAAACGTAAAGAGTATTTCGAAGTTCGCACTCGCGTTCGCCGATTCCTTCGGAAATGGAAGATCTGCGTCGAAGTTAATGAATAATTTAACGAGTACGAGGAGAACAAGTGAGAAAAAGAGAGTGTGTGTGTGTGTCTGTGTATATATGTGTATGTGAGTGTGCGAGTGAGTGAGTTAAGAGAAGGAAAATCGAAGTGACGGTAGATAGAAGAGAAAAGGGTTAGAAATATCAACGTTACGTAATAGTACGATTTGAGATAGTCCATTTAAACCATCAACTATCAACCAACCCTTTATATCCAGTACTTCAACTTATTCACATTTTCCCGATCCCACTACCTTTTTCATCATTATCAAGTTTAACTATTATGCATTTAAAAACTATTTCTCCGTTTATCAAACATTTCACATTGTTTTAGTGAATATATGATAATACTTTAACGTGATTAAACAAGACAGGGAAAATTCATTAGAATTTTCCTCGGCAGATCTCTCAAACGTTTTAACATGTCTCCTGTTCTATCCCTTTGGCTTCTCCATGACGAACAACCGTGAAATTGGTAAATAACGATTCGAAAGGGAGACTCTCGTTAATCCAAACTCATCAAACATCAAATAGGATGGATACAACATACGTATGTCCGTTCTGACGTTAGTTAGATGCATCAAACGGGTCAGTTCGTGTGCAAATATATACGTTTAAATGTTCGTAATGAATGAGGAACGCGTTTGACGATTAAATTAATTCGAAGATTTGAGAATTCAATGGTAATTTCTCTTTTGAATTTTGTTGTTGTTGTTGTTAGGGTTTAAAAATTTGTTTCGTTTCATCGAGAATAAATTTATAATTTATAAAAAGATAAGTGTGTATTTTTGTGATATAATATAATGTTTATAAAATGAACGGAAACATGCTTCAGAGTGTCAAGTTGGTGATCGTAATTACGAGGAAGGTGAAATGGTTCGTGACATCGATTGGAAAACACCATGCGATAATTGTTTTTGTGCCATGGGTGCCGTCAGATGTGTCCCATTAGCCTGTGCACCACCACTTCAAGGTTGCAGTCCAATTGTCCGTGACGGACAATGTTGTCCGTCTACCTACAACTGTAGTAAGTTTTATGCACGTTTGTGTTAAGGTTACAACGATATTGTCCCACCCCACACACTCTGCTAGGATTGTGTTTTCTATTCTAATTATATTTAATTATAACCACTTTGTTTTTCATTCATTTCATTTTATTTCATTTCATTAACAAGTAAGTAGCATTATCGTATAATAATTAATAAAGTTATTAGGACAAGGAAGTACTATTAATTAAGTAATTAAGGAGATATTAAAATTAAAGAATTTCCTAAATTCATTATATTTTTCTATAAAAACAGGTTAATATTGTTTCGTTATTTAAAACCATAAGTAAAAGGAGAAATTTAGAATTTAGGTGTATCATGATTTACAAAAAAAAAAGAAAAAACAGAACGAAAAAATAGGTTACATACGTAAGAGTATACTATACTTTTTTTTTACGTTTTGAGAGAAGAACATCCCAAGGTTGTTCCCACGATCTCAAATAGACTGAGAAACGACAAGAGCTTTTATATAACGTAAAAAGAGATAGAGATAGACAGAGATAGAGAGAGAGATTAAGAAAATGAGAGAAACACAATCTAAGCCGGGCGTTTTGAAAAGAATCTTGGGTTCTTTCACAACCCTGATTACCACTTAGGTGTTCTACTCCGAATGCCATAAGAAACTGACAGATTAAACGTTCAAGGCGGTAGCATCGAGGTTAAGGCCACCCAGAACTACGCTTCGTATGCCTTCATCAGCAAGGACTATGCCAAGTTTCGCAAGGAGACCAATTTCTTCGTACGTTCCATCATTTAGCTTCTTTTATATAGAATTTTTATCTTTTTTTTTTTCTTTTTTTATATATATTCTTTTTATCATTATCATTATTTTTCTATTATTATCCTTTATTTTTTCGTTCCACTTTATGTGTCAGTGAGTTCGTGCGCGCGTGTTTGTGTGTTGATAAAAAACGATCAAATGGGTCAACTTATGAAAGAAAATTACGAGACAAAAAATTAATTAAATACATAATACCGATTCCATAGTAATGACTTTGGTCTTGGAAAAAATTACAAACCCATAAAATGACTGACTCTTCTTTTAAATTTAAAAAAAGAAAGAAAAAAAACCCATAATTTCCATATTTTAAGATTAAATAATAATAACTATCTGAACTGTAATACTATTAAAAAGAAAAAAAGAAAATTTATTGCTTATTATTTTATGAAATATTTACGTCCAAATGAATAATGTTTCTAAAATTGTTCACCACCTCCCCCCCCCCCACACACACATAAAAATGATTTTATTTTCTTTTATTTATTTATTTATTTATTTATTATCATCATCTATCTATATATATATCTCTCTCTATATGTTTGGAATTTTCTTCGAGTCTGGTCGTGTAATTAACGAAAAATATCGTGCAGAAAATACTAGAAAATCCAGCCTTTGTCCGTGACATAAGACAATAAGCCACGAACGATCGATTGTCCAGCCTGCGATCGACCGTACGACAACGTTTCCACCCGTCGAAGGACGAGGTCATCGAATAGTGGAGGAACGGATTGATGGTAGGACGATCACCGTCGATGGTGAATCCTCTGTTACCGAAGACTCGACATCCTGGCCTTCGACCTTCCCAACCGAAATAATGGACAACGAGATCCTGATCGAGACGATGCCTTACACGAGATCAATCTTCGAAGCCAGTCTATCAACCACTTTGAACGACGAGGTATTATCGATCTAATACATAAGATCTAATTCATCTATACAAATCTTTTTTTTGTCAATAAATTTCTCGAAAACTTTTATTCCCAAATATCATATATAATATGATGACCGATTATTATGGATAACTCAAAAGGATAAATTCAATCGTAAAGTAAAACCGAAAATTCGGATTAGAATTCTGATTCAATCAATTAATTTTACCTATGTTATAATAATAATAATATTCATTTATACGCGTAGTATATAGCGAGTAATTTTGTTAATACTTTTTATTATTCAATGATTAATATTCGAATTAAATTTGTAAACAGTTTCAATAACGTTCAATTCATTCTTGTAAATATAGATTTGGCTTATTAATTGGGTTTTAAAGTAATGTTGTTGAACAACATGTACGAACAAAATGAAATAACAATTATTAGAAAACAAAATAATATAATTAAAGAAATTATTTGTAATAAAATTAATGTATGAATTCCTCCTCCCGCCCCCACCCCCTTAACATTAATTAAATTGGACGAATTCATTGAGTACGTTAAATGGGAAATCTTTCTTTTGCAGATAACCACGAATACAGTACGCACGATACCGGATTCGATTTTGTTCAATAGAGACCTTAATGGAACCACCGAGTTTTCCAAGACCTATTCTACCAATGCCATTACGGAAACCTCGTTCGTTATAGCCAACGATTTACCATCCACCGAAGAAATGACGACATCGACGTTCGAATTCACGACGGTACCTACACCTGATACCTTTTCCAACGTCTCGAAAAATGACGATTTAAATTCTAACAGAATGAAAAATAAAGACGATCAGAAATACGTGAAGGAAAATACAATGGAGATAAACGACGAATTTTCAACTAAATTAGAAATAACTACGGGCATTTTGGATAATGATGAAAACGTACGTAAGACGATATTTTAACAAGTTATTTTTTCATATTGCATTTTTTGTTTTTATATATATATATATATATATATATATTTTATATTAATACGAGTCAAATATGTTGATTTATTAATATTGTCAATATGAAATGAAATGAGATCTCGTAGATGTTTCACGCGTGTAAAAATGTATGAGATAGATAGAAAGAATTATAATTAAAAATGAATGGTTAGAATTTTGTAAAGACGCCATTTTGGTTGAACGTGCAAACGTTTCCATTTCAGACGACAGGAAATATCGATAAAGGACCCGTCAGCGGTTCATCGTCGACTATACTCATGCCGGATGACATCCTAGCGGTGAACGTGACAGTGAAGACGAATGTCTCGGTAGGCCATATACAGGGTGTCACGATAAATCCAATTAGATCCATCCCGCCGGATGTCGAGGCTATTCTGAACATCACTCATCGTGAGAAGGGTGAAGACTATAGCGAGTACGATTACAGTGCACCGACTTTACCTCCGTCATTGCCCAACGTCAGGTGTGATCCCACGTGTTTTTAACATCCATTAATAACAATCTTCTTTTATTTCAATCCTTTCATATCACCACGTTGTCTTCAATTTTCTATTTTATTTTTTTTTTAAATCTATTACTACTTCTTCTCTTTCGAAAATTTAAAATGCTTTGTTTTCAATCTAAAAAATAGAATTTTTAATCTCCAAAAAGTATCGTTCTTTCAAATCATTTAATAAATTTTCATCTATCTTTAGAAATTATAGTCCACCCTGTAGAATGTTATTGGACGCATTCTGTGGGTTTGACGAGCTTGTTAAATCGATCCACTTCATTTACCTATTTATTATGTTAAATTCAATATTTTTAGGACGATTAGTTGTCGTTAGATGATTATTAGAAAAATATAATTATTGTAACATTTATTATTTTTTTTAATTTAATGACAAAAATTCAAATTCATTTCGAGGATCGATGATTCATTTCTTCTTTCGAATAATATTTGAAAATTTTAATACGACAAGTTACTTTCATCTGTTTTCTTTTTTTCTTCTATTCTAAAAATCCAATGAAAAAAAAAAAGAAAAAAAAAAACAAAATTTACACATTATGGAGTTTGAAATAACAAGTTACTTCCTTTGGAGATAAAAAATTTGACGGAATGTGAAAGAATAAAATGGAAGGGTTCTTGTTGGAAGAAAAAATGAATGGTTTTTTTTTGGTTCTTTTTCCAGGATAATTCCATTCGTAGCTGCTGATGCCTTGGTGAAGGACAAAGACGTTTCATCGGCCGTCACAGGATATCCTTCCGGTTCGGTAGTCGTGCCTCCTGAATTGCGGCCAACCGACACGTCTGGCTTTTACGATATTGCCACTCAGGAGAACGGGTTCAGTCCTCCTATCGAGACCGAAGGTACGCACGTCACCCTGTTATATGACATAATTAAAGTAAATTACTTTTCAGAGAGGTATTTAAATTTACAGTATCACGATATTTTTCCTATCAAAAAAAGTATCAACATTTTTAACTTATTATCGTGTGATACAGTGCATCGTGAAATATTATCAATGAATTAATATATCAATTTATTAAATTAATTCAATTTAACCGTGCTCGTGAGATTAAAGTTAAGTATATTAATTTTATAAATGTTCTATGCTACTGAAAATAGGCAATACTTTATATATTTACTTTATTCGATAATTTTTTGAGTGCCTGATGATAGGCAATATACGCGTGCTGCATACGCGCGTAATACACGAGTAATCTATCTACAGGGGCTTAAGAAAAGTTTTTTTTTTCTTTTCTTTTCTTTTTTTATTTATAAATGATTATGTTCGAACGAATGATATTATGGGTATGAATAACTCTCTAAATTTAAGAAAATTTTATTAGATTATAAAGAAAATAAAATGAAAGAGTTACTCGTTATGAAGATATTGTAATTTTTCTTTAACAAACATACACACACACGCATATAGTCGGGTCAATATTAAAATCGTTTTCTCATACTTATTAGAAAAAAAAAAAAAGAAAAGAAAAACGAAATGTACGAAGATGTCTTCTCGTTAACGAAGAAAGTTGTAATGCGACAACGACTACCATTCCTCTCGACGATTTATAATATAAGAATGTTTTTCCAATCCGTAACTACTTTATTTATCGATCCTTTAGAACCTCGACAACTTTTCTTGCTGAGAAATGTTCTTTTTTAATTTGTATATTCATCTCCTATTTCATTCTTCCTATTTCTAACTTGGACAAGTATTTTTTTGTCCATCCTTTATTTAATAAAAAAAAATAATAAAAATAATAATAAGAAGAAGAAGAAGAAGAAGAAGAAAATTTCTAAGGGTACTTTATGGTTTGAAATTTATTTCCAGGTGGGTTCGTACCAAGAGAACCACCTTACTTTGATAGCTCCTATCATTCGACGGATTTAAATTTGGAAATTGGTACCGGCGTAACTGTGGTGCCGGCACAGATTACCGGGCCTCATCGTAAAAACGGTGGTAATATTGTAATTTTATAAATTATATGGAATATTATACGCGATATCCTTGCGATTGCACCAAGCTTTATGATTAAGAGCAATTACAAAAAGGTAATTGAGCACTTTTTGTAATTGCTCTTAATAATATCATTGTTGATATTATTAAGAGCAATTACAAAAAGTTAGTAAGATAAGGGTTATCATACGTGTCTGCTTGTGACTCTAGACCTGGCCAGTAATTGTCTCTTCGAAAGCCGAGAATATCGTCACGGAGAGATTCTACCTAGTACCAGTATTTGCATAATTTGCATGTGCTATTACGGGAACGTCGTGTGCTCTGGCGAAAAGTGTCCACCGCTTAAGATTGGTTGCCAGAGGCTTAACACACCGGAGGGATGCTGTGGAAAAATCACGTGTGGTAAGTAATTTTCTTTTTTTTTTCTTTTCTATTTCATTTTTATTACAACTATATTAACAAAGGTAAAAAGAGAAAATGTTATCTAAAAATAAGATAAATTTGTGTAATTAATCATTTTTAATCTTACTACTTAATTTATTTTATTAAAAAAAATGCTCAAACAAATGGAATTATTTTACTATCGCGTGTTTAATTCGATATTTGATTATCTTTACAAAGTAGTAATTATACTTTTAAAGTAATAACTGCAGCGATTATATGTATATATATATAAAATATTCCAAATATCCAAAAATATTGATTTACAAATTTTCCCTCTGATATTTAAATCGATGTAATAATTACTTTTTACAGAAATACACGATTATTTAGGGTGACAAGTTTGAAAATGATAAATGTAAATGTATTTTTTAAAATTAAAAAAAAAGAAAAGAAAAACAATTATCTTAATTTGTGTGAACAGTGAACGCTGAGGAATCACCGACAGTGGTTCTAGATCGAGTCGATTCAACCGCACCTTCTCAACGACAACCTATCGTATCTCCTGATCCCTTTCGCGACGTCATCAAAACGGAACCAGCCCCGGATTTGCCTTCTCTCATGGAAGACATGATCCCTTATCTGGTTGAGCACGGTATCACAACGTCTAGGCCAACCACGTCAATGACGACACCTCCTATATTACAAAATCAAGGATCATCTCAACATATTCTAAAGCATACTTCCAATTTTGATTACATGGATAAGTTACATTTGATTCATGCGCCATTCGATTATGGTCAAGAAATCGACGTTTCTTTAAAACCACCGAAAAATGAAGGAAACTTTAACGACACTTTGGTTAATAAATATCCAACATCGTTGATTTATCAAATGAAAGGTGATCCTAATAATTCGAATAATTACAAATTGGACGAATTAATTAGAGTACCGGATACAGTTACTATTTCATATAATAATAATAATAATAATAATAATACATTATCAAATATCACCGATATAATATATAATACGAATTCAAGCGTGCGGACAAATTCAACGAAAGATATCGAATCAAGTGGAATCAAGAAAGGCAATGTCAGTGTTGCTGACTCGACTATTCGACCACCCACGTCGTCGACTATGAAAACACTCGAGCACAAAAAGGATAATATATTCTCCTTCGGTAGTGTCCTTGACTTTTTATTCTCATCGGATGATAACTCTTATTACAAGGAAGATTCTAACGAAAGCATTAGTACAATAGCATCAATAATTCCTACATCTAATTCTACTAATAGTCATAATAATAATAATAATAATAATAATAATAATACTATTACTACTACTACTACTACTACTACTACTACAATGATCTCAACAACAAAGAATATATCTTCAAGTGAAACCGAAGAACTTTCATTGAAGAAGGATCAGGAAATTCGCAATCAGGACGTGAATTTCTCCTTTATTAAGACGAACTTGTCAACGGCCTTAAGCTCGACAAAGTTCGTTGATATAACGACGACGGTGAAATACGGAAACAACGACGACAACGACAACGACGACGACGACGACGACGACGACGACGACGACGACGAGGTATCCTCGAAGATCCTTGACAACGAAATACCCGTATCCGTGAGTAGTCTTCTTAAGTTAGCAGGATGTAATATCTACGGGCGGATGTACCGTGTCGGTAGGATCATTACCGAGCTCTCAAGTCCTTGCCGTGAATGTAGGTGCACGGAAATTGGAGTCCAATGCAAACAACTTCGATGTTGATCATAATCGATTATTTTACACGCAACAAACAAACCGATGATACTCTAAACTTGAAACAACAACAATTTTAACGTTTTTTTTCTTTTTTTTTTTTTCTCTCTATCCTTCTTCCCCTATTCTCCTCGTTGTACTTTCTTTTATTTCGTTCTTTTATTCGGATCTCTTGTCGTTTTTTTTCTTTAAATCATTATTATCTTTTTTTTTTACTAAGGAAAAATAAAAATTTGACAAATTGAAAAGATATCTTGGATAGAAGAGAGTTCCTTGGTTCTCTAATCCTATATGTACTATATATATATATGTATATACATGTAGTCAGACTTTTGGTGTCATCCTGTCTCCTCAAGAAAGTCCAATCTTGAATTTGATCTTCTATTATACCGTACAAGATAGTGTCAAGTTAAGCTAGAATTTGAAATATCTTTTTTAACAAAATGTTTCCATACAAGTATTATTTATAATAATAAAGAAACCAAATATTTTTCTTTTTTTATTAATAAAAGATTAATTATATTAAAAAATTATCTAATAATAATAAATCGCAATTCTCTTAAATTATTACTTTTAATATCCGAAATATATTTTATTTTAATATTGCAAAAGAATAATATAATCGTGAAAAAGAAAAACCCTGAAGTTTGTATTATAATTTCACAAATATAAATCTTTGTCAGATATTATTTAAACGATACTTATATCGGTAATTATATCAGAACCTGATACAACCAGATTATTACAATAATATTTATAGTAAATATTATTAACAACATTTTCCGACCAATAAAATACATTTCGTGAGACATTTTTATCCCCTTACATAAAGAATAAATAATTCTTTTCAATGTTTGACACAGTAATCATTTGACAAATGAGAAAGATATTTCAAATACGAGTATGTTCCTTGACTCTTTAATCCTATACACACGTATATATATATATATATA